GCGCAAGTGTATTATAAGAGACCTCTTAGTTGAATGTGTGACGACACATGTAATTGTTATGTTATGCGTGTGGTTGAGTTGTTGAGTTATCTTGTGCATATGTTACATTCATATATTGATGGTTGTATGATTGATTTGTAAGTTGAGAATATAGGTTTTTATTTTATACTTGTTGATTATTTTTAAATGCTAACTTATCCTTACATGTTTTCTTGTAGTTAGACTATAATGATCATACTTACATGTAGTATGTGATACTTCTAAAAAATTTCATTGATTCTTAAAATAATTATTATTGATATACCTTAAAATTATTGTTAGGGATCACAAATAGTGATTTTAGATTTTAGAGAGATAAAAATTAAAAAATAATATTTTTACAAGAATTCAAATTAAAATTTATTTATTTTATAAAGAGAAAAAATATTTTTTTAAAAATAATGTTTAAAAGTTTTAAAATAATAAAAAAAAATATCTATAAAGACTAAAATCAAATTTATTCATTTTTTATCGACTAAAAATTATTTAACCTTACGATTATTAATATATGATTATCTTTTATTATTATTTATTATTAAGGTATGTAATTGTCTTTTCGTGCTCTGATTATATGTGTAAAAGCATTTTTTTTTCATTAAAAAAGTTTTTTTTTTATAATCGGCTACTTTCGTATCATGGCTGTAAGATTAATTTTCTCATTTATTATAATAAGTTATGCAAATCTATGTCATAAATGACCATTTCAAGATTTATATGTGTAATGTTACGATAGTAACTAGGAAGGGTTAAGAACATGTAACGACCCGACAGGTCTTACACAATGTACTGAACACCGGAAACACTAGGCAGAAAGAGTAAGTATATAATTATAGGGTCTAGAATATAAAAATATATAAAGCCTCAATCCGACTAGAGTTAGAGTGTATCAAAAACATCCAATCAAAACGAAATACATCGTCAATCGCTACATCTAGTAGTTACTACAACAAGACATCAAAAAACAAGGCCAGCTCCGCCTACCAGCTGCCGACTCACCACGAACCAAAACACCTATTCTTGTTCTGCTCCCGTACATAATACGATCATAGCAGTCCAACTACAAGGAAACAGAAAAGGGTAAGCTAGTATAGAAAGAAACAACGTACAACAAAATTCAAGTAATTAGAACAACTTCAACCGCCAACACAACAACATTCTACTACCCATCAATTTATACAACCAACCAGCAATTAGATATTAATGCGTCGTCACGCATATCACCTCGGAGATCTCCTACAACAACTCAGCCGTTTTGGCCTACAACAACTCAGCCATTAAGGCCTACAACAACTCAGCCCTTTAGGCCTACAACAACTCAGTCAATAACAACACTGCACAACTATACAACTCAACACATCAACTTGCAACACTACACAACTACACCATTCAACATCAACTTGCAACACAACACAACCTTGCTACTCAACATAAATCAACCAACATTTATCTACTAGTTATCATCGATAGTTATCCACTGAAACTCTACTCAGTATAGAACAACATAATTCAATACATAAAAGGAAATGTCTCATCTCCGCGCCCGGCGCCCTCGTAGTTGCGTCCAGTGCAGTACAACCAGAGAGCCCCAGGGCCAGCGCGTCCAGCGCAAGCATGCTCGCGCTCAGCGAGACTCAGCCAGAGAGCACAAGGCTCTTCCGCGCTTGGTGCAATATCCATTGCGCCCAGCGCAGCCAGGCAGAGACTTCAAGGAGTCTCCCGTGCCCGGCGTACCTAACCCAGCGCTCGGCGCGGGGTAGGCAGAGACCATCCCTTGGTCTCACGCCCAGTGCAATTCGGAATTGCGCCCAACGCCCACGAGGCGGTGACTCCCAAGGAGTCTCACGCCCAGCGCGACAAGGGCCGCGATCAGCGCAGCCTCTAGAGCCCAACAACAAGTTACAATGGGTATCGCGCTTAGCGCAGTCCAAGTCGCGCCCAGCGAGGGCCAACCAGAGACCACATTCTCAAGCGCGCCCAGCGCACTCATCAAGGCGCTCAGCGAGCTTGGCTAAATGAGATCCCCTGGCGATCACGCGCTCAGCGCGATGAACAGCGCTCAGCGCGAAGCTCATCTGCAACCCTACCAAGTTCGAAAATTTCCCCAAACACCTGCAAAAGTCACTTTCAAGTACATGCAATCCAGCCAAAGTATCACATTTCCATCCAAGAGTTCAAAAGCGCCCTCTTTTCATACATGCATCCACAAAATCATAGAAATCAAAAATTTCCCCAAAATCCCCAAAGTCCCCAAAACTCCAATGCCACACCCAACAACCAGAAATTTGAAAATCAACACCAACTACCTGAGCTCTCAGACTCATTTCAACCAAACCACAACCCGAAAACTAACTTCCCTTACCTCGGTGAAGAAATTCCGAGCTTCCGGGAAGAGAAGGACGAAGAACGGAGGAGAAGAGGGTCGGAGGAGAAGGGAAACAACTCAAAATCTACACGGCTCCACAACAAGATCAACACTTAATCAGCACTTCCACCTTGAGACAACAAGAAATAAAGATCCAAGGCAAAAGAGTGAGTACGGAGAGTGAAAAGAGTTGAGTGAGTGGGAGTGAAGCGGGGAAAGAAAAGGAAATAGGGGGTCTCACAGAACACACTCCGCTAAATAAATTCTTTTTATTAATTATATTTTTGTCTAAAATTTATAATATTTTTAGATTTTATTTTTATTTTTTTTAATTTTTATTTTATTATAAAAAAATTATCTTTTAAAAATTTAAAAGTCTAATTAATATTTTTCTTTTCGATTACACCCTTATTTAATATACACTTTTTTAATCCGCTATTCAGTAAGTATTTTAAAATAACGAGATAATAAAAGATTTTTACTCCAACTTTTTACTTTTACTAAATAATGTATGAGTTAAAGGACTAAAAAAATTAGAATAAAAAGAGTAAAATTTACTTTAAACTATAAAATTAAAAGAGAACTATTAAATAAAGATGGGTACTTACTAAATTTTATGATTTTTCAATAAATTTTAATTGCAAAAATATGTTCAAAAGAGTGTGAGATAATATATTTTTCGTATTTTTTTTAGTAAATAATACATATACGAAGTGAAAAGGTCTTTTAAAGTACTTTTTAATCTTTTAAAGTACTTTTTAATTATTAATAGTCGCATATGTTAACTTTAAGTTGACTTTTTAAAAACTGTTTCACAAATTATATAAAAAATAATTCTTATTACCTAATAATGTAATTTTTTTTATATCGATAATACATGCTTATTAAATTTATGTCATATGTTATTCTTAAGGTTTAATAACATCTTTATTATTCTTTCATCTAATTAATAAAAGTTAATTATTTTTTTATCTTTATAAAATGTTATATTTTTCTTTTTTAAATATGAACGAACCAAATAAAAAATAAGTTTAATCAAATTGTACAAAAAGTATACATTTTTCACTCTATATATTATCTGATACTACTTTCATCCTTGTATATAAGATTTTATTTTTATTTTATTATTTGTTTATTTTTTGAGACTATTTTTTAATTTTTTTATTAATTATTTTTCTAAAATATTTTAAGAAACAATTTTTTAGGTAAAAAAATAAATGTTAAAAATTAATCAAATAAATTAGTTTTCTCTTTTATTGGGATTATAGAAAATAAGTAAACACAATTTTTAAAAATTAATTAATTAAAACCAAATAGGCCGTCAAACAATTCCTCAACTTAAACTATATTAATAAGTAAATAGTATTTTAATTCCTATAATTAGTGAATGTTATCCGCATTAGTTTCTAAAACTTAAATATCAAATAAATTTTCAAATATATTACTTATTGTTATATTTCTTGAATATGTATCAACATTTTTACTTTATTTTTATTTATAAGATTTAATTTAAAATAATTAATTATTCTTTTATGTAATTATATTAATTATTTTTTAAAATACTTCTAACTAAAGTGTATTCTTTTAATTTTATAAAATGTATTTAATTATAAATTCTTTAAAAAATATACACTTTAATTAATTGAAGAGAGAAATAATATAAGACATGCACTCTAATTGATTAGAAGATATATAAGTACTAATTAGAAAAAAGAAGTAATATAACAATAGTTTTAAAAAATATATATAAAAGATAAATTCATTGTAATCAACTAAATTAATTATTTTTTTATAATTTTAATAAATTAGATAATTGGTTCTTATATATAAAAATAAAGATATTATCATTTAGTCACATTTTATTTTAATTCTAGACAACTGTGCATCAATTTATGATTTTATTTATTTATTTTTAATTTTATTTTGAAAATTACCATCTTTGTCCTAAATTAATTGCAATTTTAACATTAAAAATTACCCCCAAGATAATTGATTCTCACTTTCAACATAATATTAATTATTTTTTTAACTTGTCTCTTCATTAATTATTCAATCTTATTGAGAAAATTAAATTATTTTAGTAAAAACGTATAAAAAGTGATATATTTATTATTATCATTAATATGTGTGTAAAAACTTTATAATGCAATTATGAGACAATACTTCCTCTATCTTCTAATATTAATTTTTTTAAATTTAAATATACAATATTTTTTTTAATTATTTTTATCTCATTTAATGATATTATTTCTAAAATATTCATTATTTAATATATGACTTTTTAGTTATACTATTTTTTTTTTTTACATTTATAACAAAAATAATTAAAAAAATATTATGAAATTAATAAAATTTAATATAAATAAATAATTTTTTAATTCATGTAAAATTAAAATTTTTTTAATGATAGAAAAAGAGAAGGAGGATAAGTTTTAAAATCAAAGATGAAAAACAGTGTTTAGTCCAAAATTAATGAAATAATTAATAGAAAGGGTATATTGATGGGTGATGATGATATTTAGAGGGGAGGATGTGTGTAAAAATATCTTAGCCACGTCATGTGCCACTTTTGGTTGATACAACTCAGTATGTGACAGCCACTCTATATAACGCAACACACCAATGCTTCTCTTCAACCATTCACTTCACAACTCAAACTCTGCCATTGCATTGCATATAGATAAGACCAACCCCTTTTCCTTCAGGTTCTCTCTTCTCTCTCTTCTCTCTCTCTCTCTCTCTCTCTCTCTCTCTTTGCTTTACCATGCTTTCACCAAACATGTCATCATGTTTCATAACTTTGGAGTGTCCTTCAGTTGTTTTTTTTTTCTTTCCTCTCTCAGATTGTTTTGCTAATTCTTAATTTCTTATGCCATCTTTGGTTGTCGGAATCATATTTCGGGAATATATGGTAGACATGGTTTGAAAGTCCTTTCTTTTTGTCTTGTTATGCCTTTTCTAAGATAGAAGAAATCTCACTCAACCCCTGGTGTTCTTGCATGCCAGTTTTTTTTAAATTAAAATGTTGTTTTGTTTCCCAAAAAGCATGTTTGAGAGTCGGAACAAGCGACAGTGATTTGTATATTTGAGATTGTGACTGCGATTCAAAGATCGTCTTGCCTACCAAATAAATAGTCTCTTTTCAGTCCTTCATGTATAGAAATGTTTAAGATCCCTATTTTCATAAGTGAGGGACCAAAAGAGGCAATTTTCTGTGAAGGACAAGGACCACATCTATATTAAATATACTATTTTGTATGTGAAATGCATGTATATAATTAATTATTTATATATATAAATTATATTTAAATTTATTATGCTTTAATATTTTTAAATATATAAATTATATTTTAGATTTATGATGAATAATTTGTGTTGTGATAAAATTTTATTTTTAATTTTTGATAATTTATTTTAAAATATGATTAATTAATTATATAATAAATTAAAGTTAAATTAGATAAGAAGTTAAACTCTTGAAAAACTTTTTAAAAAAAAATCTCATCCAAAATAGAGATTTGCTTAATATATAAGGGTCGATTAATAATTATGATTAATGATTATGTTTTGATAGAGATTTTTAAGAATTTTTATTTAAAGAGAGTATTTTAAAATGTTTTCAATGAGATTTTTGAATAATTATTTTAACTGCTTATCTATATGGATTAGTATTTATTATATTTATTTTTAAATTAAATTCTCACCCAAAATAGAGGTTTCTTTAATATATAAGGGTAGATTAATAATTATGTTTTGATAGAGATTTTTAAGAATTTTTATTTAAAGATGATATTTTTAAATTTTTTCAATGAGATTTTTGAATAATTATTATAACTGCTTATCTGTATGGACTAGTATTTATTATATATATATTTTAAATTAAATTTAATAATCTTTTTAAAAATATCAATAATATAATATTTATTTATATAATTAATATATTAAAATATAATAATTATTTATATGTATAATAATTTAATAAACATTTAACTTGTAATACATTTTACCTGTTAAAATACTAGTATCGTCCATTTCCATTTGGAAACAAAAAATATATAGACGATCTATTTTTGAAGGACTAAATGACTATTCTCCTATTTAAAAGATTAAAAACATATTCAAACTTATACTATATATAATTGTTGATTTTTTTAATAATTAATGATACAACTCAGCACTTTACCTTTTCAACAGCCACATAATTTATTAAACACAAAATTTAATTTTTCCTGTCATTGAGGGTAATTTGGTACTTTAGCCTCGAGTTAATTTTTTTTTTTTCTTCGTTCTAGCAGTTTCCATAAAGATGATTAAAATCTATTGTCTCTGGTTTTGAAGTGAAATTTGTTAGGTTCAGGTTCCATTTCTAGGAAGCTCTCTAATTTGAAGATCATAGTGAAGAGCATGATTATGATGTTAATTGACTAACCAATTTGTGAACCTGAGAACTTGTTAATGAAATTGATTTTTGGACACAGAATCTATTGATATCTGAGTATATAGATAGATATATTTAGAGATTATACTGCATGCCTGTTGTAATTCAACTAAACTTTTGTCTTTCAAAACTTGAAATACTGTAGTTCAGCATCAAGATGGCATCAGTGCATGCTAATGTGACATCAGTTGTTTGCAAGAATGGCAACCACACTTCTCAATCGAAATTTGCAAGTTCTTCATTCTTGCCTGGGTTTGATGCTGTTGGGCGTGTTGCTTGGAAGAAGGAACTTGTTCCATCTTCCATTGCTTTGGTACCTAGAGCCACATTAACATTTGATCCTCCAACAACCAATTCAGACAAAACCAAACAAAAGAAGCACACTGTTGACCCTGCTTCTCCAGATTTTCTTCCTCTTCCTTCCTTTGAACAGTGCTTTCCAAAGAGCACCAAAGAACATAGGTGATCCTTGTTTTCTTTTATTAGTTTACACTATTAATGGGTTTGACCACAGAAATATGGCTTTCCAAACCTTTTTTAATAAACTGGACACAACTCACTAGTCCTTGGACAGCTCACTGTAATTAATGTGTGATCGATCATGTTTATAGGGAAGTGATTCATGAAGAAACTGGTCATGTGCTCAAAGTTCCGTTTCGTCGAGTTCTTTTGTCTGGGGATGAAGGACACTTTGATACCTATGATACTAGCGGTCCCCAAAATATAAGCCCAAGGATAGGTATGAAAAACTAACATTTTTGTGCATTTTCCTTTATATCTTGCATTTCTGTATTACAGTCATTATCCTTGTGCCTAGCGGTAGGATAATAAAGACTTTTTTTTTTTTTGTGTGTGAGCAAATGAAACAGCCTATAATTCCTTTCTTAGATATAATTATTGTTATTGTTGCTGCTGCTGCTGTCTGTCTAGAAGCATTTGCAGATCCTCTTGATATTCAATAGGCAGAGAGCATTGTATAATTGTAAATGTTCCGACCAGCTTTCACAAAATTAAATGCAACATTTCTGTGCATGTTAGATAATTTGTCCTGTCTTTTCTTCAATCACTTGCATTGTCTATCACCTATCCAAGGTCGTTCAAACTGTCATGTCAGATCACCTGCGAGTTTTCAACTAGCTTAATGCTGATCCACCTCAATTTTTTCTGATTGTCTTCCATTGTGAAATTTCCTTTTGATGATTTTCAATAACAAGCTATATATAATCTTAGGTATTTCTTTTTCTTTTTTTACATTTTGAATCTATTATCAAATTATGCTAATCCTGAGTTTCTCCAATTTGCTTCCATTATCTACATGTGCTCAATTCATCGAGTCTCTTCATTTCTATCAACCGTTGTAGAATTAAAACATCAGACTCTGGTTTAGCACTCTAATGTTAGAAATAAAGTTTACCCAATTAACATTTTCATTTATATATATCCTTTAATTTACCCCGACTTATATTACTTGCACAAAATCTTAAAGTGATGGAATTGTTTTTATTGCTATCATTGAAGAATCTAATTTTGGCTTATGTATACTTGCACTAAGTTTTTGGAAACTTACATTTATATACTTGATTTGTTTTCATGAATCTAATGATTAGGACTCCCAAAATTGCGCAAGGAGTGGGTTGATAGGAGGGAGAAAATGGGTCCACCAAGATTCACTCAGATGTACTATGCTAAGCAGGGAATCATTACTGAGGAGATGCTGTATTGTGCCACCCGTGAGAAACTTGACCCAGAGTTTGTGAGGTCAGAAGTTGCCCGGGGACGTGCTATCATCCCTTCCAACAAGAAACATTTGGAGTTAGAGCCCATGATAGTTGGAAGAAACTTTTTGGTGAAAGTAAACGCCAACATTGGAAATTCTGCAGTTGCAAGCTCTATAGAAGAGGAAGTTTACAAGGTTCAGTGGGCAACTATGTGGGGAGCAGACACAGTCATGGATCTCTCAACTGGCCGTCACATTCATGAAACTCGAGAGTGGATCTTACGCAACTCTGCTGTACCAGTTGGGACTGTACCTATTTATCAAGCACTTGAAAAAGTTAATGGAATTGCTGAAAATCTTAGCTGGGAGGTTTTCAGGGATACCTTGATTGAACAAGCTGAACAGGGTGTAGATTACTTCACCATCCATGCAGGAGTTCTTCTGAGATATATTCCCTTAACAGCAAAACGTATGACAGGAATTGTCTCCAGAGGAGGATCTATTCATGCAAAGTGGTGCTTAGCTTATCACAAAGAGAATTTTGCTTATGAACACTGGGATGACATACTTGACATCTGCAATCAGTATGATGTGGCCCTATCGATTGGTGATGGCCTAAGACCTGGATCCATCTATGATGCAAACGACACAGCTCAATTTGCTGAGCTCTTGACACAAGGAGAACTGACCCGTAGAGCATGGGAAAAGGATGTACAGGTGAAACAAATAAAACTTTCTTCATTGCATGATACTGGTAAATTTATGGAAAGATGAAGTGATTTAGTCTTTAACTTCAATTTGTATTTTGACTGAATATCTATTAATTGTGTTACTTTCATTCTTAATTCTTCAGCACGAACAATTAGGACTTGCTAGGGATAATTCTAGTCACGCTTTATTAGAATTACTCACTTGGATAGGAATAAACTAATAATCCATTGGAAAAGGTATATTGTAATTGCTGTTGAACTTGTCACTGCTGTGATGAACAATGAAGTTCCTAGTTGGCCACCTTGTAGTGCTTAATATACTGCGCTGTGTTTTTACTTTTTATATAGATTTTGTTATGTGGCCTTATCTATTTCATATGATATTAAACTATCATCATCTAATGCAATATTATCACTAATATTATCCCTGGAGACAGTGAGTGTTTTTTGTTTACTTTGAATTATTCTACAGGTAATGAATGAAGGACCTGGACATATCCCAATGCACAAGATTCCTGAAAACATGCAGAAGCAGCTAGAATGGTGTAATGAAGCACCATTTTACACTCTTGGTCCTTTAACAACTGATATTGCCCCTGGCTATGATCACATCACCTCTGCAATTGGTGCTGCAAATATTGGGGCACTTGGTACAGCGCTTCTCTGTTATGTGACTCCAAAAGAACATCTCGGGTTGCCAAACCGTGATGATGTGAAGGCTGGAGTTATAGCTTACAAGATAGCAGCTCATGCTGCTGATTTAGCCAAATGTCATCCACATGCTCAAGCCTGGGATGATGCATTGAGCAAGGCAAGGTTTGAATTTCGATGGATGGATCAGTTTGCTTTGTCATTGGATCCAATGACTGCCATGTCCTTCCATGATGAAACCTTGCCGGCAGATGGTGCGAAAGTGGCTCATTTCTGCTCAATGTGTGGCCCTAAATTCTGCTCTATGAAAATAACAGAGGATGTGAGGAAGTATGCTGAGCAACATGGCTATGGAACTGCTGAGGAAGCTTTGCTGCGTGGGATGGATGCTATGAGTGCTGAATTTCAAGCTGCCAAGAAAACTATCAGTGGAGAGCAACATGGTGAAGCTGGTGGAGAGATTTACCTGCCAGAAGCTTACCTAAATTCCAAGGAGAGGTGAGGCAATAAAATATATTGCTTTTTTCAACAAGATGTGCCTTTTCTCATTTGACATGGATTATAATGGCGTGCTGAGAATCAAGTCTATAAATATGCTAATAAGAAACTTGAAATCTGTTTGGATAAAATTTTTTAAAGCACTTATTGGAGAGAAAAATATGAAGAAAAATTGAAATAAACTTCTCCATAAGTTAAAATTATTTTATGCACGAGTTAAAAATAAGATTTTGGAGAAGCAAATAGAAGAGAGTTTCTACAAATCAGCTTATACATAAGCTAATTTTAGCTTATGCAAAACTTATTTCATTTTTCCTTCTTTCTTACAAGTGTTTTTGAAAAAGTTTATTCAAACAGACCCTTAAACTGAATAGAAATCTCATATAGAATATGCCAACTACTTGCATTGTCTAGGGGTTTGTCAACTGAAGATGGAATTATCTTACATGTTATTTTGCAGGACTACATAAATGGAGCAAATCATTTGGAAGATCTTGTAGCTAGTTTCACAACAGGCCTATGAGGGCAGCGAAGCATTTTCAAGCCGTAGGAGAATAAGATCTGTTTGTGGATAATATTTAAGAACTTTATCTTTAGTAAACTTCTGTTTTGTTATCCAATTCTCAGCAATAAATTGCTCTAGTATCATGTTTAGTACCATCTTTATCTTTTGGGCTCTTTTATTAACACCCGAGATGCACCAGGGGTGCCTGAATCTGCATGAGCTCTGGCTATCAAGCTAGGAAGCTAGCAGATCAGGCTGAGATAGTCCCTTTGAACCTGATCAGGGTGATGCCTGCGTAGGGAGCGTGCATTCTTTTCTTTCTGTTTTTCATGATTCTGCAGGAAGTGTGCGTTCTGCGTTGTATACGTGCTTTGGACTAGCTAATGCTGGGAAGCAGCAGGTTCAGCATTTTGGCCATGCCATTTGGTCACGGTTAGAAGTAGTTGAACTGAAATAATATACTACATGATCTGAATTACTAGTATTCTACTGTTCTTAAGTCATGATCTTATAATACATTATAAAAATCCATCTTCACATAACAATAAAACCAGAAAAATGTTAGCAACATTTTTCAACACATACTTTATCTTTTTTATTTTTTTATTTTTTTTATAAATATTTCAAATATTTTGGGATGAAATATTTTGTTTGAATAAAAATTTTATAAAGAATTTAAAATTCAAGTATTTATGAAGTACCTGAAAATAGTAGAATTTTAAATTTTTTCCAAAAATAAAATAAGAATTTTAAATTTTTAATATATTTTTTTTATCTCACTTATATATCTTTTATCTCTCAACTATCTCTTAAGTCTTGATTATTGAATATTCAAAAATATTTTTTAAATATTAAATATTATCTAATATTAATTTTTAAAAATATTAAACATTTAAAAATTAGTTAATATTTATTTTTATAAAGTTTAATCTTAAGATATCAATACATATATATATATATATATATTAAAATTAATTTTATTCATGATCGAAATCAAATTATTATATTTAAATTAAAATTTTAAAATTTAAGAAATTTGATTTGATTTATCTAAATAAAATATTAAAGAATTAAAAAATGATAAAAATTGAAATCAAAGTAATTTAAATTTTAAGAATTTTAACTTTTTTGAATTTTGAATTTTTTTTATCTAAACACAGATGGAAATCCATTTGATGGATTTCACTTAATAATAAAGAATGTAAAGAATGTGTTAGAAAAGAATGGGCGCTATCTTTTCAAGCATCCGATGAGAGAAACATGCACATTTATAGTCAAGCTATGCCTTAAGCAAGATTGAATCTTTTGGAAACTTGGGGAAAACAAAGAAAAGTATAATGTTACTAGCATTTCATTTTATGCAAGATAAAATTTTCTATAACAAAACTATTAGACTATTAAATGTACACTATTTAAATCCTACATGTCAAAATTTATACGAATATTATACCTTAATAAATTTATAATGTGGGTTCATTCCCAGTGCTGATGCTGGTTCCAAAAATAAAATCTAGTTCACATGATTTTGGTTGTGTCCCGATGCTGAGATATGCTCAAAAGTTGAATGACATGAAAATCTGATAGGCATGGTTTATGGAATGATAATGAACGATATAAATAGTAAAGGCTTTGACAAAATATTAACAAGGTGTTTGGTTTTAAGTTTTGAAAAATATTTGCAATGACATGATCGAGAATAATGGTATTCTTAAAAATGATGATTATCATGGTAACCAAAATATTCATGAGAACGATTTGGGTTTATGATAGCCATTGTGCGAACTAGTGCGTTTTATCCATTGCTTAATTTATTAATGATGTTGGAGTTTTAGTGCTTGTTAATGTTTGGGAATCCGTTGAAACCAATGCAAGTACGTGACCGCGCCAACGTTCCAATTGTTGCTTTTACGTTTATTGTATTGAAATGAGCAAAACCATTTTCAAGTGTTGAACCCATTGAAGCCAAAATTGTTCCTACTTTGTTTAATTTTGTTACTCAACCTAGATACCCTCCACCTGATTTTTTTCTTGCATAGATACCTATCTTAGGCAGACGCAGGTTTCATGTGGGACCCACATAAGTGTGTCTTTACCTAAGTAAAGCATCATGATTCATGAAAGTCGTTCTCTACAATGTCTATATAGTCAATGCGAGGCAGTGCATCAGAAATAGGCAACAGAGAAACAAGTGTATCTGCTCACTTTGTTTTTACTCTTTTACCAATCATCACGTATTCTTCTTTTCTCACCTCCTTAACCCACCTTGTTTGGACCTTAACACGGCTCTTAATGACAAACTTGCTCTTATGAGAAACACACACCATATGTACTTGTTCCAGATTGAGATTAATCAGATTATCCATAGTTTTTATAAAAAAAAAAAAAAAAAACCATATTCAATATCAACCATGAAATATAGCCAAAAAGAATTTGTAAATGCCTCTAAATAAATACGATTAGTTGGATTGAGGACTTGTTAGTTCCATAGTAACACAATCATCTCAATATTATGTTTGCTGATACTGCATATCAAGTTCATTGCATCACGTATTACAAACTGGGTACTTTTCAAAGGAAGTATTGCAATAATCATGTAAAAACTGATAAATTGTGTATCTAAACAATCTATGTACTTTATACCTTTACCACATACCTCATTTTTAAGTTATGTGGGAAGGTATAAGTTCACGAGTACAATACCTCCTTTCAAGAGTACTCTGCATGTGATACATGGTACAATGCATTTGTAGGTTTTTTCAAGATTATTACAAAACCTTTACCACATACCTGGTAGCTATGGTGTTTTCCTCACTCAAGCACACAAGACCTTCCTTATTTCATATTTCCAACCCTTTCTAACAACTATGTTGTTGGGTCTTACCTACGATTCCTTTTTGTCTGTTACCACATCCCTTCACACACACACACACTCTTGCTTGCTCTCCCTCTTTTGTATATAATACTATGATATGATTATACAAAGAAATAAAAGAGAAGCGCACAATGAGTCACACAGGTTGCTGCTTTGAGAAAAGAAGCTTGTCCTGGAGAAAGAACACTAGGAGGAGATCTTGTAGGAACCAGCATTGGAGCTGCAATTTTAGGCTTCCTTGGCTGTCTGAATTATCCCCCATTGAGTTTCTGAAAGATGTTGCAGATAAAGTGACAAAAGCTATACGCTTTAGGTCTGTGAGAAAATCTTCACACCGAGGTTCATCCTCCGTGGGAAGATCAAAACCAATAGGGGTATCTGTTGACTATTATAGGACAGCAGCTGTTGAAGACTGCATTGAGTTCATCCACTCCTCCTTTTCTAGATCAAATTCTGTAACCGCAACCCCAGGAGAAGAATTTTCACAAACTTGTTTGAGAAACTTTGAATCATAGACTGAAATATTAAGAAGTGCTTGCTACTATATTTCAGAGTCAATCATCTTGAAAGTGTTAAGGTTTACAAAATAACAATGATTTTACAGGAAAGTGGTTGTTTAATATGTCATATATGTGTACTGTGTCTCTAAATAAACACAATCAATTATATCTTCTTTTGATGGGCCTCTAAGTTCAAACAGTGGGTATTTAGTTTCAGCTGAAACAAGAAGCTAGAATTTCAGTTTATTTGCATTGGTTCTTTCCTTTGGCATGTATTTTTAATAATTAGTTGATATATTATGAACAATGAGTAGTGGAAATCATAAGTTCAACTCTTTCACATGCTTAATTAACAATATCTTTTTAAAATGATTCAATAGGTGTCACGTTTACATTTTCTTTCTTCCATAGATCTATTGGAATTTAATTTGCATAACAGGGCTCCTCAATTTTTTTGGGAGCATAAGATTTGGGTCTCAACAGTTTGATTCCGTTTGCAAATTGAGTAATGGTCTTACATCAATTATTAAGGGTTCTTGACAATTATCAAATCTGAATGGTTTCCTGCTGTCCATTTTGCCAGAGATGCTAGTGCTACTGCGAAGGTTATCTCAGTCCAACGTTAAGAGTCAAAGCTCAAAGTAAAAGGTTCCATATTTTCTAGTCCATGGAATAACATTTAAGGTTGAAACTTCAGACTTGGTTTCTATATCATCTAACCATTGGGACTTGGCAACATTTACTGAATGGCAAGTTAACATTTTGGTATCATGAACAAACAAAATAAGATACAATCGTTTATTTTCTAAAATATATTTTCAACACAGACCAATAACAATAACAATAACGTGATTTTAACAATTTGATTTCATTCAATTAGATGGTGGTGTTGGCTACTCCTTATGTTGTTATCACACACTAGTTGATATTCATCTATCTACTTTCCTTACCCTCCTCATGATGAAATGAATTTATCTGTTTTAAACATTGAAATTTGGATGCATTACCAGAGACAAGACATACCCTTTAACTTAAAAGGCCTGGATAGTAAGTATAGTAAATTACCAAAAATCTCCAAAATATATAAAATTGTTAATCAACAGATTGTACCTGGCTGGTAACTGATCCAAAATGAATCGATATAATTCTGTAAATAAAATGACTCAACAGAGCCAAACATGAAATATTCCATAAGATCAAGTGGACAAGACAACAATGCATGCATTTGAGAAAACAAGTAAAAATAAATGTAAGGTAAATTATAGACTTGTTCTTCAGTTCTTGGCAAAGAGGCCTCCAAAGCCACCACCTTTCTTCTTTTGTGGCACTGCCACAGAGTTCTTGTTGCGGCCAGTGGTGGTGCCTCCGTTGTTCTTCTCCTCCACCTTCTTGAGGATAGGATCAGTCTCTAGCAGCTGGTCCTCCTTCTGCAACCCTCCAAGGATCCAATCAAGAAGACCCTTCTCTTCCTTGCTGCTGCCACCAGCACCCTTTGCTGCAGTGGCTGCAAAGACTCTACCAGTTGCTGGAGCAAATGACATGATGATGGAAGCCATGTTATTCCAAACTAAGAAGAAAATCTACACCTAACACTTGTGTGTCTTGGTGATGATGATGATGAGAAAAATAATGGGGTGGACAAGTTTTGGTAATAAAAAAAAAGTGTGTGATAATATATATCATGTATCGTGGCTGCACCACACAAGTGAATGTGGCACGAGTTCTCCACAAGTGTCTTATCTTGATTCTGGCTATTTTTTTTGGTACATAAATTTTTTCACAATTGAGCATGGCAAGTTGCGGGGTTCATCGTTACTCACTCGAGTGGTGAGGCTGTGAATTTGACGTGTGGATGCACCTCATCCATTGCCTTTTTCCATCCCTTTTTTGGGTTGAAAACATTGTCTTCATGTAGTGGCCACGGCCCACTTTTCTGGTCTTGGTCACAAGCAACGGGCCTTTGTTAGGATGCTTTTGTAGTTCGTGGCCCTTACTTAGCCCATTATATGATATCTATTGTCTCTTGGGTCATCATATACACTTAGGCTTTGTTTGGATTTGAAAATGGAAAAGGGGGAGTGGAAAAGGAAAGATTTGAAGAGAAAGTGAGTAAAAAGTGAGGTTGTTTGGATTAAGGGAAAGTGAGTGAAAAGTGTAGAGAAAATTTGTGAAAGTTTGTGAATGAATTGATTGATGTGATAGATAGAAATAAATTTTTTAATTGATAATTATGTAAGATTACTATTTTGCCCTTAAGTTAAAAAATATATAATTAATTTAGTTAAAAAATAAATATATAAATTTTAATTAAAAAATTATAAAATATTAATTAAAAATAATTTAATTTAAATATTTACTTTAAATTTAATGAGAGATAAAAATTAAAAATTTAATAGATGAATATATAATTTATACTTTTATCCTTGAATTAAAAATGAGTATAATATTATTTATT